AACTTGTTTGCTCTGGTTCTGGAACAATGGAGGTGTTTATTTTCCCTCTCTTGAGGGGTTGATTGATAATACACGTAGCAAGCACTCATTATAAGGGTGATTAATAGCTAAAAACCTGTGGTGGAAAAAAAATAGATATAGGAGTTTGAATTAATTTTCTCTATTAATTTCAGTTTGCAGCTTTAATGGAAGCACATTATCTTAGGAAAATACTTATTAGTAGAGCAATCAATAAACATTTTTTTTTCTTTTAGCAACTTAAAACCTACCTCATCCTCTATTAGGTTGGTTTGGCAGAAAAATGGATTAAGCTGTTTTTTGAGTTAGGGTTGAGGTCTATTTGTTTGTTCTGGTTCTGGAATGATGGAGGTGTTTATTTTCCCCCTCTCCAGGGGTTGACAAGTGATATCTTAAAAGTTCAACATATGTTTGGTGAAATTGCTTAGATGCAATAGGAGTCATGCAACATAGTGTAAAAATTCCAAGTTTCTTTGTTGTTCATTCGCTGATCATGGTCTATGGTACATCTTCCCAAAATAAAAAATGAAAAGGGCACCATCTTAGATTGTTGGTAACTTGGTGTAAGGATCCATCTGATATTTGTGGAGTGCTCTCATGACTGTCATAGCTGATAGTGCTGTTGGGACTTTCTTTTTGAAATGTTAGTTTTTTTCATTTTTCCTTTTTCTTTTTTTCTTTTTTCTTTTTTTAATTATTATTATTATATGTTAATATCCCAAGCTGATGTTTGGCAATTTTGGTGACCATGTCTCTTCTATATCTCACTGGTAGGCCAGTTTCAAGGCATTATTTTGCTTATTTTTTCTCCTTTCCTGGTTCTAGCATTCAATAATATGCATTATATCTGTGACAAGTGCAAAAGAGTTCACCGATTTACTGGTTTGGTTCTTTTGTGAAACTCGAATTACGCTAGAATACTTGTGCTCTGCAGGATTCAAACATGGGTCACTTGGATCTTGGATTGTGTTTGAAAGGCCAAAATGAAAATGGCCAAAACAAAGATCAGGCGAAGACAGCAGGCTCAGGTGCATTCTGGAAGATGGATCAACAATAAATTCAGATGCTGGGCTGTGCAAACTCGCCTTGTAATTGTTTTCGTAGAATATAGTATATATATAGGCTTAATCTGTGGCAGTTAGCACGTAATGGTACCTGATATCACTCAGGTACATCCTGGAATATTGTCTCTAATCAATGTCATGCAATGTAATAATGTGTTATGTTCACCTATCCAGCAGCTTTATGTAATATGTTTAACACAACAGGGCAGTGGAGCACAAGAGTTAGCTTCTACTCTTTATGAATGTGTGTATCATAACTATTACCATACCAGTATAAGCTCCATTAAAATTGATTTAGATAGTAGATAGTTGAGTGCATAATTTCACCTTTTAGGTCAATTCACTCACTTGAGTCAGTGTTAACTAAATCAACCCAGGTTTTGTGTTTTCTCTTTGTTGTCATAAAAAAAATCCCAGCCCATTTGATACTATTTCTCTTCTTTTGCTGGAGCGAGTAAAAACTGATTTATATGATATATTTTAGATGAGGGAAAAAGTTGTGCATCTTTTATGACTTGAACTAATGGGAAAAACAAGATGTGGTATGGTAGAAATTTACCAAAGAACAGCTCCAAAAGACTAATCTAACGAGAACCTCATATGTTATTCTTATGACACAGATGAACAGAAAAATATTAGAAAAATGTGCCGCGGCAACTCTGTCCACTCCTACCTTCAAGCTTCAGATCCCTTCTCACCTCCATCACTTGCAGATGTATCATTATCTGGTGCTTGAGTGACGCCAACTTCAGCTGGCCGAATAACCCTATCATAAAGCATGTATCCTGCCTGCAGTACATGATAGAAACAAGCAATTATGTAATTGAAAATCCAGGCTCAATAAGCTGTTGTGAAAACATTAGATACAGATGGTTATTGCTTATCCCACAACATTGCCAACGTGTTCTTCTAGCCAACAGAAGGAGCATAACAATAATATAATTGCCCCAGTAGCTTGGTAATCATATTCATTTAACCAAAGGTTTCCTTCTATGTTCCATGTAAATGGAAACAGGAAGGATGAAATTGTATCAACAAAAGTGATGGAGAAAATAATACCTTCAGAACATGAGCAACAGTGCCTGAGGGCTTAGAATTATCTGGTACTTGGAAAACTGCATTATGCCTATGCGGATCAAATGGCTCATTCATAGGATCAAATTTCTCCACACCAAACTTTCTAAACACCTGAAAGCAAAGACTTCCAGAATTGATCAGGTATGATTGACATGTAAGAGAACATATCCAGATACCAAAGGCTAAGACAGAGGCTGTGCAAAAATAACTTGCATAACAAATTCCTGGATGAGAGGAAATAGCATAAATGAGATTTAATTGCAAATCTTTTTCTCTTAACAAAAAAATAAAAAAAATAAAAAAAAGAAAAAGAAGAAGAAGAAGAGAGGAACCAAAAGACATGGCTGGAAAGAGGCACACAAATCTAACTCTTTACTGTTCAGCTTCATAGAATTCCCATACAAGTGGAAGCTAAGAAGCCAAGGCTAAATACTAACTTTGGGAAATGCCAAAAATTTTACCTCCAAAAGCTGTTTGTCAGTCATTTCAACACCTTCTAGCAGTGTTTTTAAAAGAGGTACAGCTCCAGCAGTGTCGCTAGATTCATCAATCTTGGAGAAACTGCCCTTGACATGTGCAGATGCCCTTCCCAGATTGTCTGCAACATCAAGCATGCTCTTCGCAAAATTCTGCATCAAATTTTCAAATAAACATCAAGTGAAGAACTTTTGAGTGCAGCAGAATAATGCATAACAAACCTACAGTTTCTAGAATTAAAACAAGTGATCATTATCAACAACAAAACCTGTATTGCAAATTTCTTTGAGTTCTCAGCTTCACGCCTTGTTCTGGCCATAACATTCTCCATTTCTGCAAGGGTACGAACTACTTTATCTTTCATCTCTCCAATCTCCTTTTGCTTCACTTTTAGAAGTTCATCCTTCTCCACCACAAGTTTCACCATATCATCCATCGACAAGTCTTCATCACTCTCAGAATCAGAATCAGAATCAGAAAATGCAGTTCTTTGAGTACCTCTTCTTCTTTTTTTGACAGACTCAGATTGGGATTCTGAACTAGAACTTGATACTTTCACTTCAGTCCCTTCAGAACTCATATCTTTTGTTTCACCAGAAACTTTAACATCTCCATTTTGTTCTGTATTCTCTTGGCCATTATTTTCTACAGCGCTTCCATCCTTGTCAGAAGGCTCAGGAGTAGCAGATGAAGCAATCCCAAACCGTTGGAATATCGAGGGATTAAAGGCTGAATAATGAATCAAAGAGACGCCATTTGAACTGGCCTGCAATGAGAAAATGCATCTAACTCAGATTTTTGGATCCTGAACTTAAAATGGTGGGCAAAGATGCAAGCTTTTCTCAAAGCTTGTTACCCACATACACCGAGAAGAAAAGTGCCAATCACAGCCCAAGAAAATGCTAAAAGATCATATCAAAATTCAAAAGTAGATTCTTCTAGAAAAAATCCTAATTTTCTTATGTTAATCAATTCCATCTTCCTAAGAGCCGTAGCACACTAGCACTTGAAGGATAACATTGCGCATCTATAACTTCAAATCATCATTTAAGTCCACCAGTAAGTAAAACTAGAAAACTTCAAATCAACTAGTAGATAGTGATTAAAAAGAACAAAAAACCAAAAACTCAGTTCAAGTCAAAAGATTACGATATATGGGGATTAATCAGATTATCACATCGCATGATAATTAAAACTAAAGCCACATCTAAACCCAACAAAACCCTGCTGATATTAAGCAAATAGCGAGATAACAACTTATAAATCTTTACTGCAATTACTGTCACAAGGCAATGATTGGGTACCAAATTTCGTTCAATCTAAACAAAAACCTTAAACCCCAACAAAACCCTAGCAAAACTTAAGAAAAAAAATCAAGGGTTTTTTTTTTTTCCCCCTCTTTTCTGGTACCTTAATTGGCGATTCGTAAATGAGAGAGTGCAATTGAGTGGTTAGGCCTGGCGGCTGGAGCTTCCTCGGAGCAGAAATGAGCAAGAAGCGTGTACAAGCGTTCCTGGAGACGCTTGAAAAAGCGCTGAAAATCATCTCAAGAAAAGGGTAAAGAGAAAAGGGCTTTTACAGGAGAAGAATCAGAAATCAAAAAAGGGAAGGGTTTTGGAAAGAGAGACTGAGGGACAGGAAAGGAGAAGACGTGCTTGGAAGTTGGAAGAGAGAAAGAAACAGGGTTTTGGCAGGAAAATTGAGAATTTACTCAATGACTAAATTGTCCTCTCAAAAAGTTCAACACGGTGTCGTTGTTAAGGTAAAAATAGTATTATTGTCAATTCAGTCGTTTAGGTTTTCAGGATCAGAATCAGAAGTTTATAACCCTCCAGATGATATTTGCCCTCGTTATGTCACCAGAACGACGTCGTTTGCAAGTTTGAGATGTATAATTTTAATATTTTATTATTGAAAAAAGGAAAAATTAATATATTTTAATATTAAAAATATTCAAATGTTTGATAATAATTATATAATAAATTTAATAAAATTAAGACTCATGTTATGTTACACATTTAATGATTATACTAAAACATTCTCACATAATGAAATTTAATCTTAAAATGCCTTGATTTTTTTTCCCTTTATTTTACTAGTAATAAATTGAGAACAAAAATGTGTTTTTTAGTTCAAATCAAACAAAATAGTGTAATATGAATTACCAATTTATCAAAAATACCTTTAATAAAACTTTTTTTTTTTTTTGAGCATATCATAGATCTTTTCTTTTCGAGCAGGTAATAGAATGCCGTGCTAGTGCAAAAGTAAGCAATCCATGTTCAAGTAAGAACATTGAAATGCTGGTTATTGGACTCACCAGCTTTGAATTATCATTGCACAAAAGGGAACAAGTTATAGGAGTAAAGATATACAAACATGCAGCCATATTATTGTTATAGAATATACTGAAGCTGGGCACTATGTTTATGATGATTCTTTCGCCACTACTACTTCTGCATCTCCAGAGTAGTCGTGCCTGTAAAATGTAAAAGACCGAAAATGAGATGGTAAGCATTACTGTTTTCCAGGATGAAAATTTTTCTGAGTAAAATTTGCCAAGGATACTTTGGAAAACAACTGCAAAAATTGTATAGGGGAATATGTGTAAGAAGCTTACTTGATTTTACGTGAGAGCTGATACAAGCCAGTTCCAGCCATTGCAACGTTGACACTGAAAAGATTCCAGTTTTTCTGCAATCAGAAGAGCAAATTATTTAGGTTGACAAGATTAAATTAAGGGTGAGGAGGCAGAACAAGATCTTTTACACAACAAAACCAGTCAGAAGCTGTAACAAAAATGTTAAAAAACATAAGCAGATTTTTACCAAATGTAACCCGTAAAAGAACAAGGAAGTTTTCTTGCCAATCACCAAGGCTAATGCATGGCATGGCATGTCATGCGCATATATTATACTTCAGTTTCTACTTATCCTTTTGAATGAGAAAGAACCACAAACATCAAATGCAGAATAGGAGCTTCACTTTAAATTAAAGAAAACGGAATTGTGTTAACTGTGGAAACTCAAATCTGATATTTCCCACAAACCTAACTATAATTTAGAAGAAAGATTTTCACTAGATTCACACTTTGAAGGTGAACAACCATTTCCTCAATATTACGTAGTAGAAAACAGAAAGCACCACATTCAACTCACAGTTCAAGCTACTGTTAACAGTTCCTTGCAATCAACTGAGTGCAAATTTAAAAGAATAAAAAACTGAAGCCATGCAACTGATAACCACGCCAGTGGTGGAGAAAGGCATGTCTATTAAAGTCTATTTTCACTTCTAGGCAGATCTTCTAAGTATGCATCTTACTAAAGAGTCTTTATCACCAAAAACCAAGAATCTTTCTGCATCATAGTCTTTTAATTATTGATTAAAACCATCCAACCATCATAATCTTGTGTCAATAGTGGAACATGAGATGAAGTTAAAGTCACGAATTCAATCTCTCATTTCAGGTCGATCCCACACAACACAACCATGAAATACATTCAAGCAGTCAAGTTGCTTAGAATTATCATGAAGGCAGTTACCATAAAAGTAAAGATTTAATCATTGAAGGAAGATTTCAAAACATTATCATGTTTATGTTCCAGAACAAGCTTCTGATCACAAAATAAACCCTATGAACAATTAATGTATGTGATGCCAGAGAATCTAGAAATTAAACATACCGGGGTAATCACCGTGCTATATCGCGACCAGATAAGTCCAGTGCAGGTAACAGCTGCATTACAACAGTTGGGGTAAGACCATCACATGTAACAAAATAACTTTGGACCAACAAACAGGAGAAAATGATAGACTTTAATGAAATTGATAACTAATCCATGGTTGAGAGACTTGAAAGCATACCTATTTGCTGGGGATAAGAGAGCTTTTCAGGTGGCTTTGAGAAGTCAGCAATATTTGCAATGCTGATAACCCATTTAAAAGTTGGAGCCCAGAAATGAACTGCAAATTATAGCTATACAAACTTAAATATTCCCTAAATCATGAAATAAAACAAAAATCATACCCAATAACATAGAATTGGATGTTTGATTATTAACGAATAGTAGCAAAAACCCAGATGGGAGAACTCCAATCTCATCCAAATTATCAACTGAATAAGGAATTTAATCCCATAAGTTAGGCAACATGCGGATCCCTTTTGCGCAGTTCACATGAATTTTAAACTTTACATGATGAAATAAACATGTAGAAATTAAAAAGAAAGGATTGTGTTCAGTGATTAGATACGAAACAAAGAAAGGAAGAGGAGGAAAGAGAAGTAACTGGTTTTAGGACCGGCGGGGTGGTTCCAAAGAGCTTGGAGCTTCGAAGATGCCATGAGAAATCTGTATCTATCTTCGTGTTCTTCTCTCTAAGCAGAGAGTGGAAGAGACGAGATATGTCTGAAAATTCATCCGATTGAAGATGCGACCCACCAACATAGCACGACAAGGATCGGCAGCCAATACCAAATCCGGGCGGCAAAAAGGCCCCAAACTTACCCCAAAATAGCATTTAAGCCCCTAAACTAAAAATGAAGCAGATAAGCCCTTTAACTCCACTAATGATGCAAATAAGCTCTTCTCACAAAAGAGCCAAACAGTCATGTTGTCAGTACCATTTCGTATCGGTCGGTACGGTTGTTACATACCAATTTTTTATGTTGACTAAAACAGTATAAGATGGAATTCAGTTTTGATCAAATTTCGAGTATTTTCTATCAAATTTCGGTGTACCAACCGAAATTGGTACACCAAAATTTTGGCTGATATTCACACTATGTCCAAATTAAAAAAAAAATAAAGAAAAAGGAATTCCCTAGCCAAAACGACATCATGTTGGCTAGGGGCTTCTTAATTACCCTTATAATTTCAAATTGTAGTTTTGTTGTCCTCAACCCTGACTCCTCGCCAATGGTCCAATAGCTACTCCCTCTTCTTGTTTCACAAATCACGCGCCCTAGATCTTGGAATTAGAGAGTGATTTGTGGGCTAAGGGCTTCTTAATTAACCCAAATTCCTTCTTGAATTGGATAATATTGGGCCATATTTTTGACCTCCAAATCTCCAATCACAAAGACATTGTCTCTCCTCACAGAGGCACCGTCAACTCCCTTCAAGTACTCCAACTTGCTATCTTACTACTTTTTCATTTTTGTTTTTGTCATGAATTCATTGGATTTTAAGCTTGATTTGATGTTTCTACTCTGCGTATTTATTGCTAAATTAGCAACCACCTAAGGCAATAAATCCTATTTATGAAGCCTTTCGCTTCAATTTCTAATTTTGAATTCACTTCATTTTGTTCATCCAAAGCTTAACACAATTGGATTTATCCTTAAATAAGATGTTTTAACATTTAGGCTATCATAGGTCCGAATGTCTTAGAATTAAAGTTTTAAATATTAGTTTCTCTTATTATTATTTTAAAATTTGATATTTAATTTACAAAAAAATATATTTATATTGATAAATCCAAAACAATAAACGAAAAATTTTAATATCTAGTATGTACCGTTGTAATAGTAAAATTAATATGTATACCGGTATAGTATTAACTACTTTGATTTCATGTTTAATATCACTATGAAAGCATGAATACCTATGAATAAGAAGGGCTTATTTGTATCGTTAATGGAGTTGGAGGGTTCATCTGCTTTATTTTTAGTTTAGGGTTTTAAATGCTATTTTAGGGTAAGTTTGGTGGCTTAAGAAGGTTTTTGCCAATCCGAGCTGATTCCGGGCGGTTCGTTTATGCTCCTTGTTTCTGACTTTTTGGGCTTTACCCAACAATTAGTTTGGGCTTGAACATATCAAAACGGGTCATTTATGATTGTAGTTTTGGGCTCCATAGACAACGGTAAATAATTTGTCTACTTTTTAAAATTAAAAAAAGAAGAAGTTTTTTTAATTTTTTACGGTTCTAACTGTTTTATATTGTAAAGTAGTGTTCCTTTTTATTGCTAATCTAAAATGAAATCGACTAAGAACAGAACAGATGCCTCACCTTCATAACGTGACTCAAATCCCATTCCACGCCATTTACCTGCCACTTACCTGCACGTAGAACTGGTGCTTCCTTAGAGATGAAAGAAAAGTGAAAACCCCTAATTTGATTATGGATTTTTTAAAATAAAATTAGATAAAATTTGATAACCAAAGTTTGTGACATATTAACAAAAAATGTATACTAAATTGCCACCAAAGAGAATTTAATAATATGAATAATAAATAAATTCTAAATATGTTATTCAGTAGGGTCGATAAAGTTTTTTAATAATTATATCGAGAATTTTATATTTTGATATAAGACGGGAAAAGAACATAGTTGATCTATAAGAAAATTCATGAAGAATTGATAGTAATATATGGCCTTCTATGTATTAGGACTAGCTATTCTGTAAAGGAAACTGAGAAAAATCACCCTTAGCTTCAAAAAGACAGTTAAAGAATGCACAAAGTAGCTCAACAACTCTCTAGTCTCAACAATAAAAATGTGTTACGAATCAAAATAAGCATAGAGGAAAGCCCGTAATGAAGAAGCCAAAAAGACAGAAACTTTCCATTTCTATTATTCACTAACAAAACCATAAGGACATTATCGTTCACTTAAATGCAGTTTAGTCTCACCCAACTTCATCCACCTTTAGTGCTATAAACTTCGTTTCCCCCAACTCACTGAAGATCATTCATACCAGCTTCACCAACCACTCCACGACAAGTTAGAATATAACCTAATTGCTAGACAGACTTAAATGACATGGCATCCCAGGCTATTTTTCTGTTGCTCTTAGCTCATTTCATAGGACAAGTACCAGAAATAAATGCTAAAATTCCAGCAGTTATAGTGTTTGGAGATTCTACCGTGGACTCAGGGAACAACAATGAGATATCTACGGTTCTAAAGAGCAATTTTGAGCCATATGGCAGGGATTTCCCTGGTGGTAAGCCAACCGGACGTTTTTGCAATGGTAGGCTTGCAACAGACTTCCTTTCTGAAGCTTTTGGAATCAAGCCAGCAATTCCTCCATATTTGGATCCGGCTTATGACATATCAGAGTTTGCAACTGGGGTTTGCTTTGCTTCTGCTGGAACTGGCTTTGACAATGCTACTTCTGATGTGCTAGTAAGTCAAGACATAACTCAGTAATAATTAACATAAGAGCAGATCTAGGGAGTATGTTCATTTGCATTGAACTTGCATAATTTTTGTTGAATTCCAAGTTGATTTTTTTATTCACTACTTTAGATGAAGGCATAATGCTAAATTTGCTACGTGTTCTATCTTATACACGTCCAATATTTAAAGTAAACTATTACAGAATACCAAGTCAAGGAGAGACTAATTTTTCAGCAAGTCGTTTATTACATGCTGATTTTTTGCAGTCTGTAATTCCTCTTTGGAAGGAATTGGAGTACTACAAAGAATATCAGGATCAACTAAGAAAGTATCTTGACAATGAGAAAGCTAATCAGCTTCTAAGTAAGGCACTGCATCTGATAAGCATTGGCACCAATGACTTCCTAGAAAACTACTACGTGTCCTCAAGCACGTCATCACAGTACTCTGTCGGGGAGTACCAGAATTTTCTTATAGGAATTGCTACAGATTTCATCAACCAGCTTTACCAGCTGGGAGCTCGGAAGATAGCAATAACCGGGCTTCCTCCAATGGGTTGTCTACCATTGGAGCGAACAACAAACATCTTATTTGGAAGTAACTGTATTGAGGAGTATAATAATGTGGCTAAGGACTTCAATAAGAAGTTGCAGGGGTCAATCATGAAGCTAACAAAGGAGCATGATGGAATCCAGCTAGTGCTTGCAAACATATATGATATTCTCTCAGAAATGATTGATAATCCAAATTCCTTTGGTGAGTATTTATCAATATGTTCAGTACAGTTGGTATTCCTTTGCATTACATAGTACGCATAACAATGGATTAGGAGATCTAATCCCAAGCTCATTAGCTAAGACAACCCTAGAAGAAGAAGAAGAGCATATATTTTCTCATCAAACATCCTATCTTACATAAATCTGGGCTCCAATTCTACGTCCACAAATAGGTCTCATGTGCAGTTCACATAGATGGATATTTACATGAGAATATTTCCATGCAAAGCATGCCCTAATGTGTGCATGCAAGCGGTGCATGTTCATATGCATATTTACATGAGAATATTTCCATTTAACAAAGTAATTTTCAATGGTAAAATTTCTAATTACAGGATTTGAAGATGTGGAGAAAGCATGTTGTGGGACAGGATACATTGAGATGGGTTACATCTGTAACAGAACTAACCTATTCACATGTTCAGATGCTAATAAATATATGTTCTGGGACTCCTTTCACCCAACAGAGAAGACTAACAGCATTGTGGCAGATTATTTGTTCAAAAATTACTTCTCTCAGTTCAATGATCGCTAAAAGGTAGATGGTCCTTATAGAATCAGTTAGCAGGACACAGGATAATTCTTCTCTTTTAAGGTTATTTTGCTCTTTTATGTGATACACTGTAAGTGAAACTTATTTTGAATATTAAAAATTGGAACTTTGTTAAATCAAGGGAGATCCTCCTAAAATTTTGCTAGAAATTGACTAATATTGAAGGACATTCTGTTTTAATTTTAAAACAGCACAAGGGGTGCCAGTGTGCCACAACATCATCTTGATTCCATTGCGACTAGTTGATACAAACACCACAAAAAAGTTACAGAATACATATGAGAGATGACCAAAAAATAAAGCTCTTGAGGCCAATGAAAAAGGTATTCTTGATGTGAAATTAAAGGAGATCCAGGAGAAAAGGAAGAAAAACATTCCCAACTTTAAATATGAAGAGTACTATAAATTCTTACATGTTCAAATGTACAAAAAAATTGGCAATTAGTTTAATATCACCAGAGGCAGCTTAGACTGTTCAAATAGAAGACAATAAATTATCTGGAGCATAATCTCAAATGCTGTGACTTACTTTAGCTTTTTGGGAAAATGCAATTTAATAAGTGCAGGAAGTTCAGCTAAATCAACCTGAGGCTTGCCCAATAAAATACTCCTCAACTTTTCATCACAATTGACCACATTCTTGTTGTTTGGATCCTAATATTAAAAAAAAAAAAATGCAATTCAGACTTCCATTCAAGATTAAAAGTCTGCATATATTAAGTAATCAACAGTTGCACATAAAAAGTGAACAATGTAAAACAAAGTAAATGCCACTAAGAAAAGCTCAAATTAAAATCTCAAAATCACCAGGAATTAAAAAATTTTCAAACTTTTGGAACTAACTCCAATTACATCCACTATATTTGTATGGCCCCAACAAATCACATTCAAAAGTTTTAACAGCTACCATATTCAGTAAAGAGTCTATGAAATTGATGTGATTGCTAATTTTTGCTCTTTATCAGCAGGGATTTTTTCCAATCAACTAAATGATCTATAACATGACAAGCAATTCCTCACGAAATAGCATATAAAGTAACAGATAGATGCACAGTTAAGAGTGATCTTTGTCCCCAAGCATGCATATTTTTAAAGTAAAAAAAAAAAACAACCTAAACCCATTTTATACTATCAATATTGCTGGACAGAGGTTTATGCCTATTCATTTGGAAACATTTGATAAAGCATTCAACAATGAACTATTAGTTAGCAAAATACAAAACTCAATCAGAGAGATTGTGGACCTGGAGATTGTTTTCCTTGATATAAGACCAAACACGCATGAAGCAGCCCAAACGAGAAGCCTGTGAATGACCCACAAACTCCCGAAGTGTGGAAGGAAGATTTACAAGGTCAATCAAGTTGGCAAGTTTCTTAGGATTATCTGTAATGGTCTTCTTTATTCTCTGCGGTAGCATTGTCAAAGTTTGCCTCTGCTTCTCCTACAAAAACCGTTTAGTAAAAATAGACAATTATGCATCCTCCTTACATACACTCTACTTTCAAAACACTTCCAGAGAATTATTTCGATACCCAAAAGATGCTACTTTTAAAACAAAACAAACACTTGGAATGAGTTTGTTTATTCATCTTGTTAAAAAACAAAAAGTAGGTCGAGCTTCTGGTAAACTAAATAGAGGGTGAAAGTGAAAGGGGAATATTATCAAACACTTGGTATGCATTCGTTTATAGAGTTATCATTCACTTGCTAGATTCAGGGTAATCAGTATCTGCAAATAACAAAAGGAGTAGAAGGTAAAGTAAAGCAAAAGAGAGCTAAAAATCGCACCTTAAAATACTTTGATCTCAGTTTGCATGACAGTTTCTCTTGCTCTCAGGACTCTGACTCTGTCCTTTTAATCTTCGACTCTTCGCTCTCAACCAATAAATTTACAAGCTTTTCCAATTGATCCCTTCAACTTCTTTATTTATCAATTTGGCCCTCCAAGTTTTTGAAACAGGTCAACTTTGAACCTAAATGTTAATTAATCACATTTTCTTTCTGTAACCAATTATATTACATCTTACTTTGCACACTAAAAAATTAAATTTCTTAAACAAACTCAAGTTAAATTTTAATAAATTTTTTCAAATTTTTTAGATAGGGAAGTGGCCAACCAAAGAATCTTAAAATTTAACACATATGTATGGCCCAAATTCAAGCATGATGGTACCATACCTCATAAATTACTTGATAAAGGCATCTAATAGTTTCACAATAATTAAAATTTAAATCATAACATTACTACGTTATAATTCCTTATATTTATCCTAAATTGTACTGTTCAAAATATTCAAGCATGATGGGTGGTTGGCCCTCATAGTGTGGGGCTTCTCTCATATTAGGAGTGACAACAAAGTCCTATGAAGTTAGGAAGTGTCTTTTCATCTTTATCCTCGCAAACGAGGGGGTTGGGAATTCTCATGGAGATTTTTGATAAGGAACAATTTGCAGCCCATCCTTGTACCTTATAGGGGATGGAAATCTTCACGAGAATTTCTATTCTTCACAATTTATACGAAAATGTAAATTTTATTTTC